TTGATGGTGGTCATCTTGTGTTGGGTCTGCTACAGCTTTAGCTTCCAATCCATCGATTGCATCTTGTGTTGCTCTTGCTGCTGCTGCCAAGGCGACTTCCTCTAAGTCACCCCTGCTGCCCTTTGACTCTGGTAAGTCGCAATTGCTGTCTGCTGGCATGGATTGCTGCTTTCGCTTGGCTGCACCATTTTCACCTGCAGTTTTGGCTGCCTTTGCTGGCCTATCATCTAAAGACTTAGGTTCTTTTGCTCGCTTTGCTTGTTGTTTTGCTTGCTGCATGTCCTTCCCTTGGGTGGCCTTTGCTGTAGCTTCTTGACATTGGTCAGGAGGGGTTGGTGCCGTTGCTGCTTGATCTTTGCGGCTCCTTTTGCCGGTGTTCTCCAAAGGGGCGCTTGCATCTCGTCGTGGCTGCTGGGGATGCTCTGCTGCTGGGCCAGCTTGTTTGCGCTTCTGCGCGTTGGTTTGTTCACCTGCCTTGCTGTGTGTCCCTTCTGCTGCTGGAACTTGCTGTCTGTCTGCTGTGGCTGGACTTGGTGCAGTTTCCCTTGTTGGATGTGCTGACTGCTCCTTCTCACCTGAGGGCCTCAATGATTGCAAGGGGGGATCCTCCGCGGGTTGGGCGGGCCGCGTGCTCGCTGGGGATGGCGCGCCTAGCTCTAAGGTGGGGGCGCGAAGCAGGCTTTCTGTTGATGGCTGTTTTGTCTGCCACTTGAATGTTGCTACCATGTGCTTTGCTTCCGCTTCTGCATCATAAGGTTGCGTCTCAAGGTCATCTGCCGAGCGTCCTAAGCACAGTTCCAATGGAATTTGCTTTCAGAAAGCAGGCATGTTTGCACGTAGTAACACGTGTTTTGACGTATAACATGGATGCGCGCGCGCACGCAAAGGACAACATGAGTTCACATGCGCATTGCAAACAAGACACCACCCTTCTGTGAATACATGTCTGACTTTGACTTTAACTCTCGAAGATGAGCCAATTGCTTCATTTTCTTCAAAAGCTGAGCTTGCTTGACCAAGTATTCCAGGCGGAGTCTTTTGGAGTCAGCCTGTTGCATGTAGCTCTGCGCCACGATTGAACACATGTAGCGAGCCTTGATACCTCTCATGCCACTAGCAGTGGCAATCACACACCGGACCTCTGTCACCTTCGGGGGTGTTTCCAAATCTTCAGGGGCAGCACCTCGAAAGGTCCAGTACCCTAAACAATTCAACCTCAAGTTGACTTGAAGTGTTGCACATGGGAAGATTCCCTTCCCCGGAAAGATAAGGTGTCTGCGCTTGGCTGCGAGGCTTGGGACTGTCCGTTCAGCCTGGGAGCCGCTTGAGCAGGGAGATGATGGACTTTATGGCTGTTGAAAAATATCAGCATAAGTGAAATGCTTCTTGGGCCAATACTTGGCGCCCGCATGGCGTGCGCAAGTCATCATCCATGACAACCTGCCACCGTGGGAGCAACATACAACATGTTGTTGCAGGAACTGCCCAAACAACTTACGTGTGGGAGCAGCCTGGGAGCAGGTCAAAATATTAACGGGCGATCAGTTACCAAGATTTACAAGTACAAAAAGAATATACATATATATATATATATACACATACATATTGTGTTAAATATCCTCTTGGGGGTAAAAGCCAGTATCTTACTAACTCGGATGCCCATCCAAATCGGGCCTGTGAAGACTCTTGGTTCACCAGCTCGCCCACAGATTTTACCATAGAATCCTGTCTTCAGGTATGTGACGTGGAACAATAAGCAAAAATACCATTCTATGGCATACATTGGCATACATTGGCATACATCCAATTTTTTCCCCACCTGCCAGGTGAGGGTTGTTAGATTTTATCAGAGCTGTTGTCCTCCTCCTCCGCCTCCTCCTCCTCCTGCTTCTCCTCCTCCTCCTCCGCCTCCTCCTCCAGTTTCTCCTCGACCATGTCTGCATCAACTTCCACCTCCACTTCCGCCTTGCCAACTCTTCGCCAAGCTCTTCGCCAACTTCCCAGCTCAGTGCGCACTGCTGGACCTCAACTTGGGACCTTCCGAGCTCAGTGCGCACCGCTGGACCTCAACGGCCAGATAGAATGCCAGAAGATATGCCAGATAGAATGCCAGATAGAATGCCAGAAGATTTGCCAGATAGAATGCCAGATAAAATGTCAGATAGAACGCCAGAAGATATGCCAGATAAAGTGCCAGAATGTTTGCCAGATAGAATGCCAGAAGATATGACAGATAAAGTGCCAGAAGATATGCCAGATAGAATGCCAGAAGATATGCCAGATAGAATGCCAGAAGATATGCCAGATAGAATGCCAGAAGATATGTCAGATAGAACGCCAGATAGAATGTCAGATAGAATGCCAGAAGATTTGCCAGATAAAATGCCAGAAGATATGCCAGATAGAATGCCACAAGATATGCCAGATAGAATGCCAGAAGGTATGCCAGAAGATTTGCCAGATAGAATGCCAGATAAAATGTCAGATAGAATGCCAGAAGATATGCCAGATAAAGTGCCGGAATGTTTGCCAGATAGAATGCCAGAAGATTTGCCAGATGATATGCCAGAAGATATGCCAGATAGAATGTCAGATAGAATGCCAGAAGATATGCCAGATAAAATGCCAGAAGATATGTCAGATAGAATGCCAGAAGATTTGCCAGTAACAAAACGTATAAATGTCATGGTGGGGATAACTCAAAGTAAAGTAACTCTGAAAACAACCAGCCCCAAAGCATTTGGGTAGAACAAAAGTGGTGCCCAAGTCCTGCGGCGACGAAGGTTCCACTGGCTTCTGGGAAGTCTCCTTCAAGCCTCGCAGAGTGTGGAAGCCGAGCAATTGAAAGGGACTGAGGCAGGCCCCGACCAAGGAGAAAGGATCGTTGTATCGGACAATGAATGGGGTGGAAGTCAACAGGGGGTTGCTGATATGAAACCCAGTATTTTATATATATATTGAAGATTGACATACAACATATATGTTGAAGTATGCCCCACCTAGGATCAGGAATGCTTTGGAAGATATCGTTGAGCTTGAGCTAATTAGTCAAGTAACATGTTTCAATGTTTTCTGCAGGTTCAACTTCTGGATCATGTACTGTTGAGGCTTCACTTTCTGATTCCTCTTGACAACTTGATTCGCTGCTCTCCTCTCTGGGGGCTTTGGCCTTTTGCTTACGCGGGGGAAGCTTCACATCCAAAGCAACCAGAAGCCACCTAATTTTCTTCTCCCGCGGCCAAAATGGCTTCCGACAGATATTGTTGAACTCAGTCATGCATCTGCGAAGTATCCAAGCTTGGTTGTGCGCTGTGTCACCTCAACATTCGAGAGATTGGATCCCAAAAACTTACCCAAAATTACATAAATCATACCGCATATCCCCAGCCACGCACCCCCACCAAAAAAACTGGACTAATTAATTTCAACCATGAATCTTCCAACAGTGATGTTGCAGTAATCATAGAAGCTTTGGACATGAACTTCAAGGGTAGGTACGGAAACATGAGAACCAAGCTCCCTGATCGCATGGAAAAGCTGTTTGGCATTGAGCCCCAAGGTATCTCTGCAAACGAAACGGCCTGTCTTCTGAGCCTTGGCCAAGTGGAAAGGGTGTGGGCAAGGTCATGGGGTATACAATTCCATTCAGGAATGGTTTGGACATGACTCGACAATTTATCATGTAGCAGTGCCAAATAAAAAACCTATATTTCGTATTAATTTTTAGGTGGTTGTGATTTGACACTGCTCACCCTGGGTCACAAAAAGTGTAAGCCTGGGACCAACTCATGCTTTGCACCCAACCGCCGGATGCTTTCTTCATTTTCCCATGCTTTGGCTAGGTCTGTAGCCATACCCTTTAAACCCTGCTGATCACCTAGAGCCAGATCTCTGCCATAAACATGCGCGTTGCATCAGAGATAATGGGAAATCTGGCAATCAGAAAATGAGCTGACACCACGAGTCCACGAGGCAGCACCCAGCGCCTCCCAAATCGCAAAGGGCTTGCTCCAAGCCTGAGCCGGTGATGGGGTGGAGTCCCACCCTTGTCAAGTTGATGTCCATTTGATTTAGTTCAGAATGTCAATGCCTTGGTCCCAGTATGGACGCTTTATACCCAAAGAACTCTCAAATTTCAGATTGTTGGATGACACCTATGGTCTGTATGAACTTCTAAGTCGCACAGGATTTGCTCCAAACATTGCTGGAGATAAGGCGGAGACTACAAGTATCCCATATCAAGTCTAGATAGGCAGATAGATAGATATAGATAGATACATTGACAATCATAGATATATAGATGATCAATAGATCCATATATAGGTAGATAGATAGATAGATAGATAGATAAGTAGATAGATGGATCGATAGAAAGATAGATCGATAGATGGAAAATCTATAGATACATCCAAAAAAATATGTAAATATATATATACATATAATATCCCTCTCTATCTATTATATATTCGTGTGATTTCTTTTCTCCCTGGTCAAACTTTGACACTTCATGATTTGAGTCCCTGGCTAGGTAGAAGCCATGTCACCGGTCAAAATGGCCATCCGCACCTGTGCGGGTTTCGCTTGTGATCCCAGGATCTTCATGATCTGGATGATCACGGTCGACGGCGACTACTGTGGATGAAAATGCAAAGGGTCAACCAGCCACCCCCCATTGAAACACTCACGACAACTTTGCACCTGTGGGAGTGGCGCGCCAGCACCCCATTACAAAAGTAGGCTGCGGGAACAGTGCTTCAATCAAACCACAGACATAAGTTCAATCAACGCCAGGAAATCATGCCTGGACCCATTTCTAGGAATTCTAGGTTAAATTAGTGGTTCTAGGGTAAGCTCCGAGAACACCTATAATTTTCAAGGTGGTGGAGGTTCCAGGTCCATTTTCATGTCATACTTCGAAGCTACGGCTGGATCCCAAGGGGATTAGAAAAAAATGAGATTCTCACAGGGGGTCATATTTGTGATGGGCCGGATGGGTCGAGGTATCTATACGTCCTTGGAGAACCTCTTGGGATCAAGCTCCTTGGAGGACAGTGCAACATGTCCGATCTATCACCCTCCTAACACCAAAAATTGGTAGATGTAATCTGGTTGGTGGTTTGGAACATGAATTTTATTTTTCCATCTATTGGGAATAATCATCCCAAGTGACGAACTCATATTTTTCCGAGGGGTAGGTCAACCACCAACCAGTAATTACATGTATTAAACTTAGAGAGCGGCACCCTGTGGGGGACTGATTTTTCATTAAACGTCATCATACAACACTGTGAATACTGATGTTTATGCACTTGGAGGGTCTGAAACCCTAGTAAAATACAAATTGTTCACCATGATCTTGACATGCTGGAAACTTATGGGGTAAAGCACCCTTTTTACGGGTACAAACGGAGGGTCTACGTACCTATCAAGTGAACTTATTCTTGCACAATCGAAATTTCCCATTGCAATGTTCGATTTCCAGAAAGGCTTACTTCATGCCGGGGATAATTTTGCTGTCCAGTTGACTGGGCATACTCGCTTCCTGCTACATTTTGGTTGATACATCTAATAGATGTCAAATGTTAGGATATCATAGGATATATCCACCCCCGTATTCTACACTGACATAGATCCCAGTTCAGTCAATCCCATAGCGTTCCGCAAAGCTGCGGCAGGGCTGGGGTCATCTGGGAAAACACCTCAACGTGTCCAAACTGCTGATCTTCATCCTATACCTGGCCGTTCACGCACTCCTGATCCACCTGGGACCCTCCAAGCTCAAGAAGTACCTCGGAGAATTCAGAGATCACAGATTGGTTCAAAGACCTGTGAAACGATATCCATATGAGCTATGGTCAATACTCATGGTTAATAACCATGAATAGGGGCTAGTCATCCAATGGTTCATAGGGATGTATAATAACCATTAATAGGGGATCCTTATTATGGATGGGATGACCATCAACCATATACATGGCTCATATATTCCCTATGGATCCAGGTAAGTACCTTCTCAGGAAGTATGACTTGACATGAAAATTGGGGGGTTAGCCGTAGCTTCTCAGCAAGTATTTGGATCCATAGGGATTTTCTTTTAATTTTTGAGAGATCTACCATAAACATCCATAAAGCCTATAGTTATACAACTTAGAATCGCCAGCTTGGCGATTTAACGTACGGGGCGTCACCTGGCTGGTGTTGCCACTTGGTTCGGTGCCAGTTGCGGTGAACGAAGACAACAAACTAGTAACTAGCCTTATGTCCAAACAACCATGGGGGTTTAAAATGTTATAACATGTTATAACCATTGTTAACCAATTATATACCATTCCCTATGGATCCAGCCGTACCTTCTCAGGAATTATGATGTGACATGAAAATTGGGGGGGTTACCTTCTCAAAAAGTGTTTGGATCCATAGGGATTATGATCGATTATGACTATTATTAACTATTGACTATATCAACTATTCACAAGTTATTAACTATTAATCATTATTATTATTATATTATTATTATTATTGTTACTATTAGTATTAATCACCATAAACAACATTAAATAGCATTATTAACCATTGCGATCCATTAAATAACATCATGGTTGCCACAACTTCTCCTAACCAACCAGGCCTAGCCTTCCCAGGTGCATCTACCTGGTCCTCCCCGTGGTCATTCTGGGCATCTTGGGCATCGCCATTTGGGCCGCGTTTCTTGCGTCCTTCCAGGAGGACGGGGGAACGTTTCCCTGAAAAAAAAAGTGGATTTAGCCCATGAAAAATGGGGAAAAATGGCGGTTTCACCCGTGAAAAAATGTGAAACATGATGTTTGAGCATCCAAAAATTGTGAATAATGATGGTTTAAGCATCAAAAATTGTGAGATGATTTAACTTAAAACCATCAAATCAAAAATTGTGAGCATTGATTTTTTGGGCAAAATCATGGTGAGAAGATGGTGACTTAACCATGGAAAATGAAGATAAATGGTGGTGAGAAGATGGCGACTTAACCATGGAAAATGGAGATAAATGGTGGCTTAACCATGAATAATATCATAAATGGTGGTGTAACCATCAGAAAAAAAAACTCCATCGAACATGTTAATTTGGCAAGTTGTGTGGGGAAAAATCTGATTCACCTTCGGCGATCTCGGGTCACTCTACATACTCAGAATGACCCGAATGGGGTATCGAAGAGACTCTTATTGAAGTTGTGGCTCACAGGGATTCATAGTGAATAACAATGATTGATGGTGACTTTTAGTGGTTCACAGTCTATCCCACAATTCCAAGGATCTGGAGTGATCGACACAATTATTGTAATATGAATTTAGTTTTGTTTCGCCTTGGGCTTTCTGAGGCTGCGCAAACCCGACAAAAAACCGGGGACGGCTAAACAAAAAGAGATACCCCAATTGAAATATACCCCATCGGAGTACTGAAATCCTCACTTAAGCGATAGGGGACGATCCTGATTTGTCCGTTCCTCATAACAATTCGAACCATTGCCCGTTTAGTTCGATGATTGCCTATTATTGTGATGATGATTTTGAAGGTACAAACTTACCGGAGGGTATATCTGTGGTAAAGACCTGACATGAAACTAAAGATTTAAGGCCCAGCTCTGCGATCTTTGTTGGCGATTATACCGTCAAATTTCACAACTGGTTGAGTTCCGGACGGTTTTCTCCACAGTTTTTGCTGAGATATTCCTATCCCTATGGATCCAGCCGTACCTTCTCAGCAGGTATTTTGACTATGATTTGTGGGGTTAAGTACCTTCTCAGAAAGTATTTGATTCCGTAGGGTATGATATCCTCAATTCAATCCTAATTTTATTTTGTTAATGGTGTACCCATCTCATTTTACACATGTCATTTGATAAACACAGCAACTACCCAAATTGAATCAATTATGGTACTTCATGGTAGTTTAGCGTGCAACTAACATGATGACCCTGCCTGATAGTTGGAAGACTACTTTCCTCTAAAAATCAGAAAGTTAGCAGGGTCTATGTCTATGTTACTTGGAGGGATGGCCAATTCCCGCTTATAGCTCAATTTAACCACCATGTTTAATCATGAACTCACCATTTTGGTTGCTTAAATAATCTTCAATCCCATCTTTTGTTAGTTGATTAGGTTGATTTCAGAAACTTCTCCATCCCATAATTCTTGTTAATGGTGGTCCTTGGGATAGCTGCAGTAACATCAATCACATTTGGGCAGTTCTATTCATCATATGTCACCCACAATGTTCAATACTCTAACTCCCAATGTTTTTCAATGTTTAACTCCCAATGCGTTTCATTTTTCATGGTTAAACCACCATTTTTCATGGTTAAACCACATTTTTTCATGGTTAAACCATGGTTAAACCACCATTTTTCACCAGTTTGGTTTGCTGAAATCCCCACGTGTTTGCTGTGGGATGCCACAAACACCCCGCCGCAGGCGCTGGAGGCGGCCGAAGAACGACCCCCCATGAGCATCGGCAGTAAGACCGTGGCCTTTATGGCTGCCGTGAACTCCAGCCGCTCGATGATTTTTTCCGTGGCCCCAAGTCTTGACCGAACTTTTCGGGGAATTATATAGTCTATATTATTTTAAATATATATATATATTATACATTATTATACTATATTATTTTATACTATAGTATAGTGTATTATATTATATTATATTGTATTATATTATATTGTATTATAATATTATATTATATTATATTATATTGCAGTATAGTATATTGTATTATATTATATGATATTATATATTGTTAAAATACATAGAAACACGGTGGTTGATTTGTGATTTTACAAACCTTGATAGAGCATGGACAAAGACTGGAACAGATGGATATTTGATATACTTACAGTTTGATGGGTGAACAACGTAGCAGCGGCTATCCCATTGGATTAATGGGATGGAATGGGAACGTTGATGAATATCCTAATACCCCCATTGTAATCCCATGATATTTTTACGTTTCTACTAGACCCCCAAAAAATACGTTCATCATATTCCTATATATACCCTTTGCAAAGTTATGACGTAGCTGTTGAAGATATTTTTTCATAGGCAAAAAGAGTCATCGACCCAAATGAGCCATTCTCCATCTGGAGGGTGGTAAGGATTCATAGACAACCAGGAGAAAGTCTTGGTAATTTACCCTCTGGTAAATTACCCATTTACAGTGGAAACTAGTCTTCCAACCCCTATCTGGCAGGGTCTATGTAAATTTACTGGCAACAGTTTGCTATGGGGGTCATGGCCCGTATACTTGGATGATTGACCTAAAATTTCGAACAAATTCGCGCCTCGTTTCCATATCGAACGAACAGGTTTACCATATATTACCAGAGTTACAATTACTAAAATTCTGATATGTCCTATATATTATATATATATATATACACACACACATATTTCCTACACATTCCCAGAGTTTACCAGGTATTGGCACATGGTCCACTTTGCTGCTGAATGTCTGCGATTTGAGCCGCTTCTCCCCAACGCAGAAGGATCAGGTAACTCGCCAAAGATGGGGATTGTATAAAGCGGTGGAGCAACCTGTCGAAACAACGGGATTTCAGCACAAGGTGGTGCCCCCCCAGTGATGTTTGTTGGTTTATAACCCCCTTTTAAGTACAAGTATATCTACCATAAACCCAAATGATTGGAGCTATGTTCACCAACTTAGTGATTTACCTCACTGGGGCACCACCTTGCAGGAACCATGCTTACATAACCCTCTGGTAAACGTTTACAACAAAAACTATGGAAGGATCCATCATGCATTATAGCTGGGTAAATCAACTATGACTCGACTGGGCCATGTTCAAGAGTTATGTAACAAATTACCAGAGGAAAACCAAGAAACCATCGGGGATTTTTCAGCGGTTGATCACTGCGCATGGTCAAAGAGGATGGCTACCATCGAGGTTGAATATGATTTACACACAGCTACCATAGGGAAAATCACAATGGTGCTTGGTAAAAATCATTATCATTTAATACAATTAAGTGGGTTATAACCCCATTACATATGATTAATTGATGGCAAAAAAACAATGGTGCTTGGTCATCTTGGTGGGTTGTGATCGCCTCAAAGAAAAAAAAGATCGTGCGGCATACGGAACTGTGTGTGTGATGGAATGCTCTTGGACGGGCCTCTTGACTGGGGTTTTGCTCGGGTCCACGAATTATCCCATGGTCTAGCTGGCTGGTGGTTTCAAACTTCAAACATGTTTTATTTTCCCTAACATATGGGATGTCATCCTTTCCATTGACGAACTCCATCATTTTTCAAGATGGTTAAAACCATCAACCAGCTAGAGTTTGAATATATATATATGTATAAATTCATAGGGGTCATCCTCCCAGAGAGGTTAACATAGGAATCCCCTTCTGATGGTCAGATGACGTGAAAAAACCTATACAAATCCCACGTAACTTGACCATGGCACATGTGGAATAGCCGGATAAAAAGAAGGGTGGTCTACAAGGTGGTGCCCCCCCAGTGATGTGAACGTTGGTTTATAAACCCCATTATATAACTATAGATATATCTACCATAAACCATAGTTATTGGAGTTATAAACCAACTTAGCTAACTATGGGGCACCACCTTGTAGGAGCCACAACAAGGCTCCACTAGATAAGACAGATGGAGTCCATGAATATACTCTATGGATCCAAGCGCCTTCGGCAGTGTTTGGGGTCTGATTCAGGGGGTTATAATACCTCCTCAGAAAAAAAAATGGTTCCAGATGGATAGTTATAATTTATAACATTGTATAACATTATATATACCCTCTGGTAAACTAACATAACTATTGAACATGGCCATAGAGATAGTGGATTTACCCAGCTATAAAATGGTGATTTTCCATAGTTTTATGTCTGTTTACCAGAGGGTAACATGATATAACCCCTAATATCATCAAGTGGTTAGTAACCATAGTTCACCCAGCTATCATCACCAGTCAATGGTGGAATTAAACCAGATGAAGACTCGTCCGCTATTTGCATATCATAAACCATATATAGAATTTTTGGAGTTATCTTCACCAACTTAGCTGCTTAGCTATCATAAATCAGCTATAAATCCCCTGGAAATCCCCATTATACTGGGTTAAATCACCATTTTCCTATGGTTTTCCTATGGTTTCGTTTGGGGGCCCCACGTTTCGCGGACACCGACGCTGCCCAGGTGTTGGGCCAATCCTTCGGTATCCCGGTGCCCTTTGTGCTCACTCTCTTCATTGGGATGTGGTTGGCGGGGGCCACCACCGTCGCCTATGGCAAGGCCGGCATGGATAAGGATAGATTATAGGATGAATACAATGCAATACCATGTGTGAATACATTATATTTGAGTTGTCCCAGGTCTGCTACAGACTGTGAACCCTGTAATCATTAAAAAACAAAAAATACAAACAAAAATACAACTCCAAATTACAAAAAAAAACTCAACACTGAGCAGGGCAAAATTATCAACAAAAGGAAAATACAACATATATATATATACATTGATGGATTCGCGGTTTTGTTCTTTGACGGCATGTCTAAAGAACGCAAAAAATACAAAAGGACAAAGTGCAATCTGTGAAGGACTTGGACGTAATGGAAAAATACCAAAAAAATACAAAAATACAAAGTGTATTTTTTTGGTATTTTATTTGTATTTTTTTCGTATTTTTTTGTATTTTTACAAAAAAAATACGAAACAAATACAAAAAAAATACAAAAACAATACGAATGCAATTGCTCAAAAATACAAAATACAAAAAAAAATACGAATCAACAATTTCAAAAATACAAAATACAAAAAAAATACGAACCCAAAATTTTAAAAATTCAAAATACAAAGAAAAGACAGATTCAAAAATAAGCCAGAGAGCCAACCCCGTGTTCACTTTTGGAAATCAGGAACCAAAATACAAAAAAAATACAAAACCAACCAGTTGTATTTTCCAAACCCTGCAGTTCTGATTTTGTATTTTTGGGTTGTATTTGTTTCGTATTTTTTTTGTAGTTTTAAATATTGGCAAAAGACCCTTCTGTAGCCACCCCGGACAACTCAACATTATATAAATATACATATATAATATATTATGATATATTATATATGTTTATATGTATCGTTTGTGTGTGCATTATGTCAGTGTTACGATAAATATACAAAACATTAGTGAATGATGTTTACAGTAGGCATCAATGGAACACGTGCCCGTTTTTTCCCGAGAGCGCCTGCGAAGGGTTCTTCGTAAAAAAACAGCCGTTATACTAGATCTTCACACCTTCACACCTGCAGATCTAGATCTTCACACTCTCACATCTGCCGATCTACATCTTCACACCTTCACATCTTCACATCTGCTGATCTAGATCTTCACACCCTCACATCTGCAGATCTAGATATTCACACCTTCACACCTGCAGATCTAGATCTTCACACTCTCACATCTGCCGATCTACATCTTCACACCTTCACATCTGCTGATCTAGATCTTCACACCCTCACATCTGCAGATCTAGATATTCACACCTTCACACCTGCAGATCTAGATCTTCACACTCTCACATCTGCAGATCTAGATATTCACCCTCACACCTGCAGATCTAGATCTTCACACCCTCACACCTGCAGATCTAGATCTTCACACCTTCACATCCGCAGATCTACATCTTCACACCCTCACATCTGCCGATCTAGATCTTCACACCTTCACACCTGCAGATCTAGATCTTCACACCTTCACATCCGCAGATCTACATCTTCACACCCTCACATCTGCCGATCTAGATCTTCACACCTTCACATCTGCAGATCTAGATCTTCACACCCTCACATCTGCAGATCTAGATCTTCATACCCTCACACCTGCAGATCTAGATCTTCACACCCTCACACCTGCAGATCTACATCTTCACACCTTCACATCTGCAGATCTCCTCTCGCTCTTCTTCTATTCTCTCTTAAGGCGGGGGCGGTGCCGCCGGAGCGCCACGAAACGCAACCCTTTCGCACGAAATGGACGTTGGACGCCAAAAACTGAGGTAAAATTGCGATTTTACTTTGTCCATTGCAACCCTTTCGCACGAAATGGACGTTGGACGCCAAAAACTGAGGAAAAGTTGCGACTTTGAAGCGTCCCGCGCAACCCTTTCGCAGGAAATGGACGTTGGACGTCAAAAACTGAGGAAAAATTGCAACTTTGAGGTGTCGCGCGCAACCCTTTCGCACGAAATGGACGTTGGACGTCAAAAACTGAGGAAAAATTGCAACTTTGAGGTGTCGCGCGCAACCCTTTCGCACGAAATGGACGTTGGACGTCAAAAACTGAGGAAAAATTGCGACTTTGAGTTGTCAATCGCAACCCTTACACACGAAATGGACGTTGGACTTCAAAAACTGAGGAAAAATTGCGACTTTAGTTTGTCAATCGCAACCCTTACGCACGAAATGGACGTTGGACGTCAAAAACTGGGGAAAAATTGCGACTTTACTTTGTTATTCGCAACCCTTACGCACGAAATGGACGTTGGACGTTAAAAACTGAGGAAAAATTGCGATTTTACTGTGTGTAAAAGCTTCTGTGTGTAAAAGCGTCTGTGTGTAAAGGAGTCTGTGTGTAAAAGCTTCTGTGTGTAAAAGCGTCTGTGTGTAAAAGCGTCTGTGTGTAAAAGCGTCTGTGTGTAAAAGCGTCTGTGTGTAAAAGCGGCTGTGTGTAAAAGCGTCTGTGTGTAAAAGCGTCTGTGTGTAAAAGCGTCTGTGTGTAAAAGCGTCTGTGTGTAAAAGCGTCTGTGTGTAAAAGCGCCTGTGTGTAAAAGCTTCTGTGTGTAAAAGCCTCTGTGTGTGAAAGTGTTGTGTGTAAAAAGTTCTGTGTGTAAAAGCGTCTGTGTGTAAAAGCGCCTGTGTGTAAAAGCTTCTGAGTGTAAAAGCCTCTGTGTGTAAAGGAGTCTGTGTGTAAAAGCTTCTGTGTGTAAAAGCGTCTGTGTGTAAAAGCGTCTGTGTGTAAAGGAGTCTGTGTGTAAAAGCGTCTGTGTGTAAAAGGGTCTGTAAGGCATTTACCTTTGATTCGGGGCGCCAAAATGAATCAGGGCGCCAAATATCAATGGTGAAACTTACATGAAATGCTGAGAAGCAGGTCATGCTGAGAAGCACACAATCTGCTGAAAAGCATGTCTTGTTGTGACATTATCATGCCTATTTTTTTTTGATGGAAATGGTGAAACTTAAATGCTGAGAAGCAGGTCATGCTGAGAAGCACAAAATCTGCTGAAAAGCATGTTTTGTTGTGAAATGTTTATTTTTTGACGGAAATGGTGAAACTTAAATGCTGAGAAGCAGGTCATGCTGAGAAGCACAAAACCTGCTGAAAATCATGTTTTGTTGTGAAATGTTTATTTTTTTGATGGAAAAATAAAATAATTTAATGGATGTTTGATTGGGGAACATTCAAGAAACACCCAAACTGGAACTAAAAGGTATGGTCGATTTATTTTTGTATATATGTTGATTTTCTTTGTGCTGATAAGCACTATTTTGCTGAGAAGCAATTACTGTGCTGAGAAGCACTGCAAAACAAACCTAACTCGAAATGCCATGAGTACCATTTATCCAATCACTGAATGTCACCAACCCCAGGTATGTTGAACAAAAACTTCAAGATTTGTTTCAACTGTAGATTTAATTTACATGACATGAATCCATGTAGGATCCAATCAAGGAAATATTGAACATTATAGTTAAATGGGGCCTTCTTAGTATCTGTCCTGTCAGGAACCTTTCAGGCACTGTCCATCCTCGAGCACTTCAAGATCTTCAGGTCTCACTGTGTTGAACAGCACGATGCTGAAAAGCATCAGAGACCGAGTTGAAAAACTCTTTCCAGCCGAAAGGCTGTGTGATAGTGCTGAAAAGCACAGGTGCTGAAAAGCACCCTCGTCACACAGGGCGACAGGCTGGGAGTTTCACCTGGCATCCCAGTGCCAGCCTTTTTTTTTGTAAACGACTGACGCCAAGGTCAGTCCCTCCAAGTAAACTTGCCATGCAAGCAGTGAAACCTTGGGAAGTCTCATCCAGTATGAGTGGGATGTCGGGTGCCCTTCTCACTGCAGCCAGTGTCCATCGGCCCATTTGGGTGGGGGCGGCCTTAAGTGGACCCTCCCGGCACTGTGGGTCGGAAAATCTCGTCTCTCCAGGATACGGTGGGATGCACCAAGGGAGTAACTGGTTGTCATGGGGAGTTGAAGGAGGATACTAGAAAAGGGGATGGGTGCACCCCCCTGCCAGGTTGAAGACGCATACACATACTGCATGGACTCACCAAACGTACAAGCGTACACGCGCACGCACGCGCATACAGAGACTGTGTACCCAAGAATGTGTGCAGTATACAGCGAACTCACTAGTATGTTCACTCCCCGCGTGAGTGATATTTAACCTAGGTGTGTCTGTATATATATATATGTGTGTGTGTGCGTGTGTGCGTGCAGCATGCAAGGACAATCAAAACATCATCATGGTGAAATACACTACCTCAAGAAGTATGATTCTAATTTTACTGTCGTGTATTTTCTTGGGATCCAATGATGACAGGGGATGGAAAAAAGTTTGGTATGTGGCATGGGAACCAAATTTTCACCAGGAATACTGCTGACATGTTTCTTTGTAGTTGGTCAGCAGTCATGCTTGTCAATTGTTTTGCCAAAAAAGTAGACTGAATAAAGCTATCTTTAGCTGTGCTTTTCAGCACAAGAAGTCCGTGCTTTTCAGCACAGAAAAGGCACACACAGGAGTCAGACGAACTACTGTCACCGTGAAAGATTGCAATCATCCGCCCAGACGTGTCCTCACGAAGTGCAGGAAGAAAGAAGGCACTTGAAGCGCCTTTGATCCAAAATTTCTTGAGGCATCACACTCATCACAAATGATTCGATTTCGGTTGAACCCATGGCTAGACTTCTAAGGAACCGGAAGTGGCCATGAACTTGAATTTCTGATGAATGAAGTTGCTGTTCATCACAAATCAAGATCGGCGGGACTACCTCAGTTTGTGATGAATTTGACTGAGGTTCATCACAAAATCATACTGTCTTCAAGACCTTGGATCAGTTTTTCACTGATTCTTTTCATACCTGTGCCTGGGGAACAGGGTGATTTGTGATGAACCTCAGTCAGGTTCATCACAAATCCAGGTTTCTTTGGATAGGTCATTTTGTGATGAACAACCATGTGGTATTGATTTGTGATGAACCTCAGTCAAGTTCATCACAAATCACTGGTTGGGATTAACAAGTTGCCAGCTGATTTGTGATGAACCTGACTGAAGTTCATCACAAATCACTGGCTGGGATTAACAAGTTGCCAGCTGATTTGTGATGAGCCTGACTGAAGTTCATCACAAATCACTGGCTGGGATTAACAAGTTGCCAGCTGATTTGTGATGAACCCGACTGAAGTTCATCACAAATCACTGGCTGGGATTAACAAGTTGCCAGCTGATTTGTGATGAACCTGACTGAAGTTCATCACAAATCACTGGCTGGGATTAACAAGTTGCCAGCTGATTTGTGATGAACCTGACTGAAGTTCATCACAAATCACTGGCTGGGATTAACAAGTTGCCAGCTGATTTGTGATGAGCCTGCCTGAAGTTCATCACAAATCACTGGCTGGGATTGAAAAGTTGCCAGCTGATTTGCGATGAACCTCAGTCAGATATGTATGCACGCATGTGCCAGCATGTTGGTGAGTCCATGCAGTATGTGTATGCGTCTTCAACCTGGCAGGGGGGTGCACCCATCCCCTTTTCTAGTATCCTCCTTCAACTCCCCATGACAACCAGTTACTCCCTTGGTGCATCCCACCGTATCCTGGAGAGACGAGATTTTCCGACCCACAGAGACAGTGCCAGGAGGGCCGATGGACACTGGCTGCAGTGAGAAGGGCACCCGACATCCCACTCATACTGGATGAGACTTCCCAAGGTTTCACTAAAAAAAGGCTGGCACTGGGATGCCAGGTGAAACTCCCAGCCTGTCGCCCTGTGTGACGAGGGTGCTTTTCAGCACCTGTGCTTTTCAGCACTATCACACAGCCTTTCGGCTGGAAAGAGTTTTTCAACTCGGTCTCTGATGCTTTTCAGCATCGTGTTTTTCAACACAGTGAGACCTGAAGATCTTGAAGTGCTCGAAGATGGACAGTGCCTGAAAGGTTCCTGACAGGACAGATACTAAGAAGGCCCCATTTAACTATATAATATTCAATAGTTGCATGATTGGATCCTACATGGATTCATGTCATGTAAATTAAATCTACAGTTGAAACAAATCTTGAAGTTTTTGTTCAACATACCTGGGGCTGGTGACATTGAGTGATTGGACTAATGGTACTCATGGCATTTCGATTTAGGTTTGTTTTTCCGTGCTTCTCAGCACAGTAATTGCTTCTCAGCAAAATATTGCTTATCAGCACAAAAGAAAACTACCAAAAAACGTTTCCATGGTGTCATGTAAATATATACAAAAAATAAATCGACCATACCTTTTAGTTTCAGTTTTTGGGTGTTTCTTGAATGTTCCCCAATCAAACATCCATTAAATTAGTTTATTTTTTCCATCAAAAAAATAGACATGTCACAACAAAACATGCTTTTCAGCAAATATTTTTTGCTTCTCAGCATGACCTGCTTCTCAGCATTTCATGTAAGCTTCGCCATTTCCATCAAAAAAATAGCCATGTCACAACAAAACATGTTTTTCAGCAGATTTTGTGCTTCTCAGCATTTCATGTAAGTTTCACCATTTCCGTTAAAAAAATAGACATGTCACAACAAAACATGCTTTTCAGCAGATTTTGTGCTTCTCAGCATTTCATGTAAGTTTCGCCATTTCCATCAAAAAAAATAGACATGTCACAACAAAACATGCTTTTCAGCAGATTTTGTGCTTCTCAGCATTTCATGTAAGTTTCGCCATTTCCATCAAAAAAATTAGACATGTCACAACAAAACATGCTTTTCAGCAGATTTTGTGCTTCTCAGCATTTCATGTAAGTTTGACCATTTCCGTCAAAAAAAAAGCCCTGTCACAACAATTCATTTTGGCGCCCTGATTCATTTTCGCGCCCCGAATCAAAGGTAAATGCCTTCTGTGTGTAAAAGCGTCTGTGTGTAAAATCGTCTGTGTGTAAAAGCGTCTGTGTGTAAAAGCGTCTGTGTGTAAAAGTGTTTGTGTGTAAAAGTGTTTGTGTGTAAAAGCGTCTGTGTCTAAAAGCTTCTGTGTGTAAAAGCTTCTGTGTGTAAAAGTGTCTGTGTGTCAAAGCGGCTGTGTGTGAAAGCGTGTGTGTAAAAGCGTCTGTGTGTAAAAGCGCCTGTGTGTAAAAGTCTCTGTGTGCAAAAGCATCTGTGTGTAAAAGCGTCTGTGTGTAAAAGCGTCTGTATGTAAAAGGGTCTGTGTGTAAAGCGTCTGTGTGTAAAAGGGTCTGTGTGTAAAGCGTCTGTGTGTAAAAGCCTCTGTGTGTAAAAGCTTCTGTGTGTAAAAGCCTCTGTGTGTGAAAGTGTTGTGTGTAAAAGCGTCTGTGTGTAAAAGCGTCTGTGTGTAAAAGCGTTTGTGTGTAAAAGTGTCTGTGTGTCAAAGCGGCTGTGTGTGAAAGTGTCTGTATGTAAAAGCGACTGTGTGTAAAAGCGTCTGTGTGTAAAAGTGTTTGTGTGTAAAAGTGTTTGTGTGTAAAAGCGTCTGAATGTAAAAGCGTCTGTGTGTAAAAGCGTCTGTGTGTAAAAGCGTCTGCGTGTAAAGGAGTCTGTGTGTAAAAGCTTCTGTGTGTAAAAGCGTCTGCGTGTAAAAGTCTCTGTGTAAAAGCGTTTGTGTGTAAAAGCGTCTGTGTGTAAAAGCGTCTGTGTGTAAAAGCGTCTGTGTGTAAAATCGTCTGTATGTAAAAGTGTCTCTGTGTAAAAGCGTCTGTGTGTAAAAGCGTTTGTGTGTAAAAGTCTCTGTCTGCAGAAGCGTCTGAATGTAAAAGCGTCTGTGTGCAAAAGCGTCTGTGTGTAAAGCGTCTGTGTGTAAAAGTGTTTGTGTGTAAAAGCTTCTGCGTGTAAAAGCGTCTGTGTGTAAAAGCGTCTGTGTGTAAAAGCGTCTGAATGTAAAAGCGTCTGAATGTAAAAGCGTCTGTGTGTAAAAGCGTCTGCGTGTAAAAGTCTCTGTGTGTAAAAGCTTCTGTGTGTAAAAGCGTCTGCGTGTAAAAGTCTCTGTGTGTAAAAGCGTTTGTGTGTAAAAGCGTTTGTGTGTAAAAGCGTCTGTGTGTAAAAGCGTTCTGTATGTAAAAGGGTCTCTGTGTAAAAGCGTCTGTGTGTAAAAGCGTTTGTGTGTAAAAGTCTCTGTCTGTAGAAGCGTCTGTGTGTAAAAGCTCCTGTGTGTAAGAGTGTTTGTGTGTAAAAGTGTTTGTGTGTAAAAGTGTTTGTGTGGAAAAGCGTCTGTGTGTAAAAGCGCCTGTGTGTAAAAGCTTCTGTGTGTAAAAGCCTCTCTGTGTGTAAAAGCTGTCTGTGTGTAAAAGCGTCTGTGTGTAAAAGCGTCTGTGTGTAAAAGCGTCTGTGTGTGTGTGTAAAAGTCTCTGTGTGTAAAAGCGTCTGTGTGTAAAAGCGTCTGTGTGTAAAAATATTTGTGTGTAAAAGTGTGGTGTGTAAATAAAAGTGTCTGTGTGTAAAAGCGTCTGTGTGTAAACGTGTTTGTGTGTAAAAGTCTCTGTGTGTATTTGCGTCTGTGTGTAAAAGCGTCTGTGTGTAAAAGCTCTGTGTGTGTAAAAGCGTCCGTGTGTAAAAGCCTCTCTGTGTATAATAAAAGCGTCTGTCTGTAAACAGTTCTGTGTGTAAAAGCGTCTGTCTGCAACTTTACGAAAGATACGATGCAAACTATTGTCTTGTACTTGTAATATATTGTTTTGAAACTACTCTTCTCGTCTGCCTATAATACATCTTCAATATATTGTCTTGTAATTTAGTGCCTCCATACTAGCAACAGAAGACTTTGCTCGTCTACGCTCTCGGGCCATCCGTCGTCTAGTTTTTCAGGGAATCTTTATACCAACCATGACAGGCCGTCTGGCAGATTCCTGAGTGCTTCGCCTACTGGCACCCAGTGGTCAGCGTGGTGGCAGCCATTTTGTTGGCATTGTCCAGTTTGTTGGTGAACGTCTTGGCGAACATCATTTCACCCATCAACGACTTGATGAATTTGGCTCCTGGGTAAAACAACACAGCTCCAAACAGTGAAACAACCTACGGTTGGCTTGATGTTTATCCACATGGTTCAAAGATAAGGGAAACATGTTGTGTGTTGCCATGTTCGGTATCCGCAAATGGCTTGATAATCAGACACTTCTTTCACATCTATACGGCAATTACACAGCATGGCATGTCTATTTGAAGTTTCAATGACCTCTTGGGAGGCAGCCATGGGTCGATGTGCATCCCCTGCGATGCTGCACACGGTCAGACATCAACACCCATGTTTATTCATATCACTAAACATGCAAAAATATGTCAAGATCATGCAACATCCGATTTCAACATCCATAGAAATCGTACATCCCCACTCAGAAACTGCGAGAGAGTAGATTCGAATCCGTTTCCTTTGTTCGTGCCCTGTTTGGTCGAGGCGCCCAAAACCTTCACCTACCGTGGCTGTGGCTACGTGGTGCTCATCTTGTCCTTGTTGGTGTGTCCCTGGTGGACCTTCTCGGGGAAGGTGAGCTTCGTCCTCAACTTCTTAACGGGCTATGCCATGATCACCGGGGCCATTGCGGGCGTCTTCCTGGCGGATTATTGGATTCTCAAGAAGGGATGCCTGGATCTCAACGTGCCATGGTGAAATATGTGATGAAACATGTTGCAGTATCCATCATGTTTATATATGTTTATATATTTTTTTTTTACATATATATATATATGTATATATATGTATATATATACACACATATTATACTATGTATATATATATAGATATATGTACCCTTGAATGTTTGGATTTTTGGATTCCGATCATTGGGATGGATGAGCTTTATCTACGTCTGATTCCATGGGACGTTTTTGAGATGTTAACTGAGTACATTCAATTAGTGTCTTTTAATGCGCATTAATCAAAGCGGGATGAACCAATTGTATAAATTGGATTGGTTCAGATGTTGATTTATCCCATGCCAGCTGGCTTGAAAGTACACAACAATCCAAGTTTCAGATAGGTCAGGCAGAAGTGTCAGTGAGGAACTCTATTCCTCCACGGGAGTCAATTGGAAGGCTTTGCTCAGCGTTTTTTTGGGCGCGGCTCCCTGCATGCCTGGCTTCATCAATGCGCTTTTGGTGCATGGTGAGGAAAATCTGGTGAGTCCATTTTGGGCCCATCTCTATTCCGGCGGCTCCTGCTTGTTTTCTTTGGGAGCATCTGGAATTGCCTACCTCATCTTGAGCTCTTTCTTCGAGAGCAAGAAGAGCCTCAAAGAGACTGACTTTACTTCCGAAACTGCCATTTGAACATTTGAGGCCAGCCGCATCACTTCCTTCAGCGCGGCTCGTTTTTGATACATCCAAAAAAGCGCCAAAATTGCTTTCTGGTAGTCCAGACGCCACTGAGCCAGTGCAGAGCCAGCTGGTTTGGAGTCTTTTTGGATGTGTGTATAGTTGGTCTGCGATGAGCTCAGATCCCAGGGTCCCGGTTTCTGGGTAGTTTAAGAAAAGTCTCTTTGAAAAGAATGGCTGGAAGTCTCTTTTGGATGGTTACCACTGGTGGTGCTGAGGAACACTGTGTGAATCGCGAAGCTAAAGAGCTTTAAGAATCTACTATTCAAACACTACAATTTTGAAGCTGCAGAATTGCGTTGAGAGTTTAGGTCATCCAACATACTCCGAAATTAAGACCAACCCAAGAACTTCCATCTCGCAGATGCACACACAGACTGCGACTGTAAAGTTGGGCCCAAACCCTAGCTTGCTCTGTGAGCGTCCAGGGTTGTGCATTTGCACCTTGCCACCGATCTAGGTCTGTCTAGTGTGCCCGCCGGTATGCCGCCGATGTGCCCCAAAAGTGGTGCTGGGCAGTGAGGATGTTGATGGGTCAGAAACCTTTGCCCAAAGCCACCTTGATATAGGGGAGATCCAAGTTCTTTGCAACGCAACACCAATTCCTTTCCTTATAAAGCACGCGGCATGCCTCAACAAAAATGAGTGGTTCGGAATCTCAATAAGGACACAATCACAGTGGTTTTACATCCCAACAAAACTGGTTTATAAACCCCATTAACTTTTTGTTCTACCGTAAATGTCCAGTTCTTGTAGTATATTGTAGTTATGTTTGGCAACTTAGCTAGTTTTAATCAACTATCTCTATCAACTATATATATATACATGTATCAACAACAAAATCATGCAGCTTTTGCGGCTTAAATCTTTATCCAAGTGGCTTAAAATGCCAGGATGCAGCGGCCAAGGAGGAGGTTCACCAGGCCTTCAGCCAAGTGATCCAGGCGAGACATCGATTTTTTTGCCTTCAGCCGTGGACCCGGGATGATGACCTGAAAAACCTGGAGTTCTGCTGGATGGACACCCTTTATATAAGGTCATCAAGCATGGCATCTCTACGGCCGGTGGTGCCCCAGTGAGGTAAATCGCTAAGTTGGGGTTCACATAACTCCAATTTCACTATGGTTTATGGTAGATATATCGAACTAGTATTCATGGGGTTTATAAACCAACATAGCCATCACTGGGGGGAGCGCCACCTTGTAGGTCAACCTTAGGTAGCTAGTCTAATCAAAAAAATGCTATTTTAAATTTATAGAATATCATACGAACCAAAGAAAAATGCAGGGTATCCAAGATTGGCAATGAACTGGACACAGCTTTTAATGGGAAAGCATGCGCAGAAAATTTCAGTGCTGGGAAGAAAACACGGCACACAATCGTGTTTGTCAACGACCCTCAGTTCCAAGCGATGATCATTTTTCCCCTGAAACATGGCCATAGGGGAATACCTCATTTCTCAACAATGTCAATGGTTTCTGCTGCATTTATTTAGTGGTGAACTATTAGTTAACTATCCATTTCTGATGGTTCGCCAACCATTTATTCGCCATGTTTCATGGTTACCCTCTGGTAAACTAACAGTTTGCTATTGAAAATCACCATGTTTTAATTGGTAAATCACCGAACTAAATGTGCCATGTTCAATAGCAAACTGTTAGTCATTACCAGAGGGTAACATCCCATTCTTTAATACAAATGGTTTATGGTTTTGATCCCATTCATATCCCCATTAAATACCATATTATCGTTGAAATAACATAACTATGGAAAGATCCACCATTTTCAATGGGTGAATCCACTATTTCTATGGTCATGTTCAATAGCTATGTTAGTCATTACCAGATAGTAGTATAATCCCGAATTCATATTGCTTAGTATAATCCCCGACCGAACTCATCATTTCAGGTCCTGTTGGAGATATCTACCAAAAAAAAGGCCTATGTTACAATGTGAGGCCCCCGTTCGATAGCTAAGTTGGTGAACATAACTCCAATTTCACTATGGTTTATGGTTCGCAAATAACGAACTAGTTCCTGGGGCTTATAAACCGACTTCTAATTGGGGGGCACCATCCTGTAGTTATTGAACATGGCCATAGAAATAGTGAGTTTTCCCATTCAAAATGGTGATTTATAGTATTCCTGGGGCTTTTGTTAACCAACTAACATCACTTGGGGGGGCATCACCTTGTAGTCATTACCAGAGGGTTACCCCACGAATTCCCATCGGTTTCAGCGTTGCTCAGCGCCTTTGTGCCCGCCTGGACGCGGTGGATTTCAAGCTGACGGCCGCCTTGGCAGCTGGAACGCCCTGGGCATCTCTGGAGGCAGGGAGGATGGGAGAACCCGAGATAACCGTAACAAAAATGGGATTTTCATGGGTTTCCTGAGATTTTCATGGGATTTTCATGGGGGTTTAAGGGGGGTTTAATAGGATTTTCAGTAGATTTTCAGTAGATTTTCATAGGGGTTTAATCAATTGGGGGGTTAATGGGGGTTTAATGGGATTTGAATGGGATGTTCATTGGATTTTGATGGGATTCTAATGGCGATTTGAGTGGGACTTTCATGACATTTAATGAGATTTTCATGGGATTTTCATGGGGGTTTAAGGGGGGTTTCATGGGATTTGAATGGGATGTTCATGGGGGTTTAAGGGGGGTCTAATGGGATTTGAATGGGAGTTTCATGGGATTTTCATGTGATTTTCATGGGATTTTCATGGGGATTTGAGTGGGACTTTCATGACATTTAATGGGATGTTCATGGGATGTTCATGGGGGTTTAATCTGACTTTCATGACATTTAATGGGATGTATGTTCAGGGGATTTTCATGGGGGTTTAATCTGACTTTCATGACATTTAATGGGATGTATGTTCAGGGGATTTTCATGGGGGTTTAATGGGATTTGAATGGGATGTTCATTGGAGTTTGATGGGAATTTCATGGGATTTGATGGGATTTCATGGAGGTTTATTTCAATGGGATTTCATTGAACAGGTTTCATGTAATTTCATGTCATTTGATATTATGGCTAGTAAGATAGTTCGATGATGTTAGATATGTTATATATAGTTATATATATATATGAGAGGAAGCTGAGCATATCTACTCCCCAATCCATTCCCCTGGATAAATTGTAGTGGCCACGCCACTGGAAGAAGGATTAATAAGGGAAATTGTGCGCAGATGGCCCCATGATAGCCGTTATTTTAAGGTTAGTGAGTTATTCCAATTCAGTCAGATTAATGAGATGATAAGTCAATCCATTATCCTATAATGATATAACCATCAAAATTGATAACTCAAACCAACGAACAACAACACTGATGGTTTGATGGGGATAAGATGGGGATACGATGGGAATGTAGAGAATTAGCAATTCTCAAACATATAAGATCATATAATTCATCAATATGGTCTTAGCCACTAGTATATAACAGTCTATACCACATGAATCAATATCAATCATATAAATCATCGACCAATTATATACACATTGTCAACTATTAAATTGTACAAGGTGGTGCCCCATAGTTAGCTAAGTTGGTTTATAACTCCAATAACTATGGTTTATGGTAGATATATCTATAGTTATATAATGGGGTTTATAAACCAACGTTCACATCACTGGGGGGGCACCACCTTGTATGTTCAACTGTAAAGACTGGGGAATATCGGACATCTCAATCCATGGACTCGATGGACCGACATCTTAGATCTTTAGGGACAAAAAGAATACAAGGTGGTGCCCCCCCCAGTTATAAATTGGTTATAAGCCCATTAACTATAGATTCATCACCTATAACTCATAGATATTGGAGTTATAAACCAACTTAGCTATCTTGGGGGCACCACCTTGTATGAATGGCAAGTAAAGAATTCAATTCTAGCTTTGGGGCTGAACATGGGTCCAGATATGACTTGTTGGTAGAATTCAGCGATGGAAAACCGGACTTTTTTTGGGTTCAATTTGATGGAAAACCCATCAAACATGGTGGCTTAACCAGCCCAAGGTGATGGTGATTGTGATAGTATCGGGGAATTGTGATAAGAATATTTTTGCAAACAATATACCGGTAATGTGATGATTGAAGATGAATCCGATTATTGGTGGGTTGTTTATTAATTACAATTATTAGGGCAATTGTTCATTCCATATGCTTATTGTGTGAGATCCCCGTGTGCCGTGCTAATAACCAGTAACAACTATGATGGGATAAGAATGATTTATGGGAATTCAATCACTTACACTCTGGTAATTTAACATAGCTATTGAACATGGCCATTTATAGTGGATTTACCCATTGAAAATGGTGATTTTCCATAGCTATGTTAAATTACCAGAGGGTATTGTTTTTGGTAGTGATCCTATGAGATGAAGGGTTGTCTGAAATGGAACATGATGATCTCCCATATTTTTTGGCCAAGGCGGGCACGATGGAGACACCGCTTCTTATGAGACCATGTCGAGCTCATGGCTGTTGCGATTGAGCACGACCAATGGGGTCGAATGTGTTGTGGGGGCTAGCCCTTTACCAGTTTCTGCTTCAGGACTTCAGGTGGTTCAGTACTTCAGGTGTCCCAGCCGGGACCGGCCATTCATCAGGCTGTGCCAACTTGCAGATAAATCATGGGATGTTTACCACCTATCAACTGGTGCAGGATTTCGCAACCATCCAAACAGGTAGTAAAAAAAATCTTCCGCTCCAAGTGCCATACGGTTCCATACGGTCTTTAATAAGGGGATGGCATCGGATGGCATTCCGCGATGGACAATTCTGGTGCCCGAGGTTTTGGCATGTTACCCCATTCCCGATTCCGAAAAACCTTTATTTCCCCAACAAGTTTATATACACCATTTTTTTTGAATTCATCACACAGTTCTTTATCCCATTGCTAACCGTGGTGGTTTCAACATGTTTCAACCATCGGTTATGATTTCGCATTTCGCAACCATTCACAGTAAAGATGATGATCCTCCAAATCATCCAGTCGTGTCGTGATCAGAGGTATTGAGGAAACCAATGGTGAAAAGGGTGCTCAATTTGGAGAAACACCCAGTAGATTAGTATGGTAATCATCGCATAAATATGGTAGCAATATGTTATACGATAGTGTAAATTACTTTGACTTTTCTACGTTGCTATCTCATTACTATGAGATTATGTTTGCAGTTTAGTAGCTGAAATGGCATTGGTAGTATTGATATGTGGCCATCCTATTGTCCAATCCCAGGTCCATAGGCAGTGGCAATCCCTATTTGAAGCAAACTAGGTGGTGTAGCCCACCATGACAGCCAGCCAGAGTATGCAACAAAATCAATGGTTCATTATGGTTCATTGAACAAAAACCTACACATGGGTAGATTGATGGTTAGTATCCGAATCTACCCAAAATGATCCGACTTTTTTTTTTTACAGTATTTCTTATCTTGGAAAAAAGGGGGACCTGGTCTGTTTAATCCACAAGTTATACTGTATTAATGTGGGTAAAACAACAATAAACCATCCCCCAGTCATCACCATAAATACGTGGTATGGTTTTGTATGGTTACCATTGCCAGTCATGGGTAGTAATCATGGCATTGTTTTACCCACATTAATTATATATTAATGATTCATTAATCATGTATGAATCAGACATTGATCAGATGTTAATCGTATATCAATCAACCATTAATCATGTGTGTGTGTTGGTTATACTGTAGTACTTCTATTTTGCAACACATGCAATTCAGCTGATGGCATTTGAAGCCCAAAAGTTGTTCCCTTTTTGACGCCTGCCGTGGTTTTCGCTCCAGGTGCTGCGTGCACATCGCATCAAACTCGAGAACATGGGACGCGTGGGAACCTCGGGCATGGAGGTTACTGGATTGTCTCGCATGCTTTTTTCCCCCGAAACATGGTGACAAAAGGTGATAAAAAAAGTATCCCAAACATGGTGAAGAAGGAATGGATGTGACAGTTCGACCTGAGTTCTAGCCAGAATCTCGGGCAATTTTAATTGATGAAAACTTAAGTGAAAACGATGTTCAAAAGACATTTGGCCATTGGGCCATTCTATGTTCAGACGATCCCACGTGACCTCTGATGAATGGGACTGCAGTCAGCCTTTATGGTGATCTGTCACTGCCTATGTCACGGCTTTGGGTCAACACATGAAACATGCTGGTTTATACTGTAGAATTGTTTCCAAATGTGAAAGTGGCCAGTGAAAGTGGTCGATTGGTTTCTGAGATCCAGTGAAAACGAGGTTATGTTTGCTGGCAACCATAGAGATGTGCAAAACTTGCATCTACATTTTATCTTTCAAAGTGGTAGTGTCAAACGTCCCAATCACATTTCACGATTTGTCCCGCCAATCTACCCTCTGGTAAACTAACATAGCTATGGAAAATCACCAGTTATAAAAGGTAAATCAACTATAAATGATCATTTTCAATAGCTATGTAACAAATTACCAGAGGGTAGTTAGTAACTCCAAGCTTCTTCATATGTTCATCCCAGATGGTGAATCACCCAAAAATCCATGCAGCCAGGGAGAGAATGGATTTCCGTGGCCGTCATGATGCCAAGAAATTGGGATTTTTACCCATTTTATTGGCTGATGGCCATGGCATATCCTAAACATTGGCCAACGAACAATCACCAGCCAATGTTTGCTTCTTCAATGCCGATGTCCAGTGTTGTTAGTCCTCCAAATTTCACCGGGTTTCTGAGCTTATGAAACATATATGTCAGGTTTCCTGAGAATATGTTGGATCCCCGAAACTATGGTTTCAATATGTTTCAATACATATGCTATACCCTCTGGTAAACTAACAGTTTGCAATTGAAAATGGCCATAGATATAGTTGATTTACCATATTAAAATGGTGATTTTCCGATTTTCCATAGGTTGTTTGAAGGTTTACCAGTGATTTACCCAGCTATAAATGGTGGATCTTTCCGTAGGTTTTTGAAGGTTTACCAGAGGGTAAGCATCTATAATCCTAAGTCATGATCCAGTGACTCGTACGACAACTGGGGCGATGACAACTTGGGAAACCGGCGAAACCGGTCGAGCGATTGACCAGTTCCGAGCTCTCCATAGTCCCATCAGAGTGGTTCTTTTCAGATTCCGCTGTATCCCTATAATCCGTATAAATCCATGTGTATAGTATACTGTATATTATATATTATATTTTGTATATTATATTATATTATATTATTTTATTTTATAATATTATATGATATTATATTATATTATACGATTATATTATATTATATACGATTATATTATATTATATTATGTTATATTATATTATATTACTATCTTATATATTATATATATTATATATTATATATTATTTATTATATATTACATATTATATATTGTATGTTATATATATTATACTATATTATATATATTATACTATATTATATATATTATACTATTTTATATTATATTATATTATTTTATAATATATTATATTATTTTATAATATATTATTTTGTAATATATTATATTATTTTATATATTATATATTATATATTTTATTTTATTTAATATATTATATATATATTTTAATATTATATATTATAAATTTTATATTATATATTTTATATTATATATTTTATATTTTATATTATATATTATGTAATATATATTTTAAATGATATATTATATATTATATATTTTATATTTCATGTTATATATTATATATATTATATGTTCTATTATTTTATATTATCTTATTATATTATATTATATTATATATTATATTATCTTTTTATTATACTGTATATCATATTATATATATATATATTATTGTATTATTATATATTATATTATATTATTATATATTATATTATATTATATTACATTATATTATGTTAAATTAAATTATATTGTATTATATTATTTTATTTTATATTATATTATATATTATATTTTTTTATTTTAAATTATATTATATCATATTTTATATATCATATTATATAGTGTATTATTTTATATTATTTATTTCACTATATATTATCTTATATATTAAACTACATATCATATTTCATTTTTTCATTATATTTTATATATTATATTATATTACACTATATTATATTAATTATATTAAATTATATTATATTATATTGTATTATATTATATTATATTTTTTCGTTTTATATTTTATTACTGTATATATTATATTATATAGATATACATCACGTATTTCATATCCCTATCCCTTTACAGAACCGCCTTTAAGTTCTGTGCGTGCTTGCGCTGTGCGTTTTTCGGCGCTTTTTTCCGTGTTTCTTTGCGCTGCCAGATGAACTACGCCCTGCAGTCAGTCACATCGACCTTTCAATCCTTTTTCTATGAGGAGAAGGAGGTGACCTTCTCATCGGTCGGGCCAACGGGATGGTCATACCATGGAATACCTAGATGGAAACTTTCCCATGTCCCTATCATTGATGTTTTCTGCCAGCTTTTTAGGCTACATAAGTTGGGATACAGAAGACCATATCTGATAGGGAACATGTGGATATCTGTGACTCGGAAGGTGGATTCCTGGGTTGGTGGTCTCAACTACGATCGATGTCCATCTCTGGGGTCACCACTATTTTCCGGCGGGGTGAAAGTATACTAGCGAATACTAGCGAAGGGTGCTGAGAATGGCTTTGTCCGGAAGTTTACAGTAGAAAGTGCGATTTACTTATGAAAATGGTGATTTTTGTCATAGCTATGTTAGTTTACCAGAGGCTACTCCATGCCTGCGATCGACAGGACAAGAGCCAGTTGAAGCAGGAGTGGAAAGAACACCACTTCGCCCTCCACGTCTATCGAAAGTGGCCTGGTCAGAGGGCGTCAGTTGTGATCCATGGGATTCTCTGAGGACTTTGCCCATCACGGAGGGTACCCGGCCTGGTAAACGTTAATACTTTGCGAACTTGAACATGGTGATTTAGTTCGTGGATTTACCCATATTAAATGGTGATTTTCCATAGCTATGTTAGTTTACCAGAGGGTACCCTCCAAACTGCACCAAGTTCTGCACTTGAAGGCTAGAATAGACCAAGGAGTACCGAAGATCAGCTCGTTCAGTTTTTCACTCCCGACACTCACATCCTCATGAAACATCCCAAAACAGATTCGCAAGCCAAATAAAATCTGATAAATCATCTCAACATATCCCAAATTTCATCAGCCCCAAATCTCCAAATTCTCCAGGTGATCTAACTTTAAAATCTGATAAATCATCCCACAATATCCCAAAATTGATCCCTCCAAATCTCTAAAGTTCTCCTGGTTTTCATGTGGAGGACCCTCCATAAGTCATGGGTGTCCCCAAATGGCTCGCTGGATGGTTCATTTCATGGAAAATCTGAAAATAAAACGGATGATGACTGGAGGTACCCCCATGACTTAGGAAACCTCCAGATCATGATGTTGGGACTTAATACCGAATAGTGTTTTAATTCAAATGTGCACTTTATTTGTCATTACCCATGACGGATTCCATGGTGCTGGTAATGCTAACATGACTGGGGTATATTGATGGGATCCATGGAGCACCATATATAGCAGCACCGTTAGGATCCTATGGGATGGGCATTTTCTGCCAAGAAATACCGAAATACCGAACAAAAAATACATGAGAGAGACTTGGATGACTTCTCACAAGGTGGTGCCCCATAGTTAGCTAAGTTGGCTTATAACCCCAATAACTATGGTTTATGGTAGTAGATATATCTATAGTTAATGGGGTTTATAAACCAACAAACATCACTGGGGGCGCACCACCTTGCACCTTGTCACAACTTGTGACTCCTCGCCAGGCACATTATCGAGTCCGCCCTCAGCTCCCCCAAGCCTGCCAGCCGTGCTGCGGCGGAAGCGGCATTGCAGGAGCAGCAGGTGCGGCTCGGGGTTTGGGGTGCCTCGGACCAGGTCTTGGGTTTGGGTTTTTCTTTTGTGCCATTTGATTTACCATCCTGGTTATGACTAACATAGCCATGGAAAATCACCATTTTTGATAGGTAAACCATCTATAAATGGGCCATCTATACCATGGCTATGTTAAATAACCAGATGGTAAGATATGATATGAACAGGATATATACCCTCTGGTAAACGTTTACATAACCATTTGAAAGATCCACCATTTTGAATGGGTAAATCCACTATAATATCTGGTTGGTGGTGACTGGAACCATGGAATTTTATGACTTTCCATTTCCATATTGGGAATGTCATCATCCCAACTGACGAACTCATATTTTTCAGAGGGGTTGAAAAGAACCAACCGGCATGTGTTTTTTTCATTTAATGGTGATAAATTACCTGTTTACTGGGTTTTTAATGGGATTTTACTGGGCTTTAGTGGGTTTTCACTATGAAAAACTAGGGGATAACATGATTGATCACTGCTGGTTAGTTGATGAGTACTATCCAGTGGTCAACAGAGGGAGTCGGGGAGCCTGGCCCCACCGTTGATGGCGTTGATGAATTAGGGACATCCGTCTTCTCAGCCGCAAGTTTGGTTCCAGTACGACTTATCCAGAACTTTATTTAACTTGCCTGGGGGTTGATGTAAGCATCAAAAAAGGCAAACACTGGGGAATGAAATGGAATGAACCATGACAAAGATAGGTTTTACCAGTTTCATCAATGGAAGCAGGGCGCATGGTGCCCCCTGTAATGGCCCTGTTGGTTTATTGCAGTTCTGTTCACCAACTTAGCGTTTCCCAGACTGGGGCAACACCATTGGACCATGTTTCTTTTTAAAGATAGGACATAGGACATTTTGCAAGGTGGTGTCCCATAGTTAGCTAAGTTGTTTATAACTCCAATAACTATGGTTTATGGTAGATATATCTATAGTATTCATGGGGTTTATAAACCAACGTTCACATCACTGGGGGGGCACCACATAAATTGGGACCCAGACATTGGTCATTTGAACCCAAGTTTGACCTCAACGGAGTCATTCAAACCGTTTTCAGCATGTGGTGGTTTTTCCCAAGAATTTGTGGAGACACATCATCCGCCAATATGAGAATATCACTGGGATGTAACCCTCAAAAAAAACAGGAAAGCAAAACAAGGATGCGCCGGATGTATGCGTAGACATGTTTACCATCTGAAACTGGGGAAGCTTCACCAACAAATGATGTGTTTTATGTGTTAGAATTTCAACGGAGCCATTATGAAAATATCCCATGATATCCCCATTTTTTTCAAGTTAAACCTGGCTTAGCATCCCCATTACTCGGATTTTGCTTGGACTTTGGGTGCTCCGCCAGGAATGCTCCCGCTGGAGCGATGACGAAGGCGACCAAAGTGTCTCCGAAGCCAAGACGGACGCCGATGGTGCTGCTATTGGGAGAGTGGATCCCAAAAGCCCTGAAAAACTCATGATCTTTTTGGATGTTTCTTACAATGTGGGGCCCCCGTTAACGAAATCGCAACAAGTTGGGGTTCACATAACTCCAATTTCACTATGGTTTATTGTACGCTTAAATAACTATAGTATTCATGGGGGTTAATTCCACCAACATAGCCGTCACTGGGGGGGGCCCACATTGTAGTTTCTTTCACCAAAAGAAATAGGCCAAGGTTTGTAGGGAGAAACGTCTCCAAAAGTGAGCAAAAGTGCAGCTTTGAGGTTTGTGGATGGAAGACAAAACGAATCATACCCTCTGGTAAACGTTTACATAACTATGGAAAATCAGCGTTTTGAATGGGTAAATCCACTATTTCTATGGCATTAAATGGTGATTTTCAATAGCTTTCTGTTTGTTTACCAGAGGGTAAATCATCATAAATCCATGAAAGCCACCCCCTTCACCAGTCGCTTTCCCCTTTGTGTTCTGCAGGAATCTGACGTGCCTGAAATCATTTGCGATGTGGTGGAGGAGTCTACATTGGCAGGTCGCGCCTCCGAGAAGTTTGGTTGGTTGTGAAGTGACCCGCAACGGGGTTGTAGTCTGCTCTCATCTCTAACAACTACGATATTTGCATATAATATGTACATGTATAATATATATATATATACATAGAATAATATAGATGATATAGTGATGTATCCCTGTTACTAACCAAATCATTTTCTTCAGGAGTTCAGGAATCATCCGGTGTTTTTTTTCCAGGTACACTCAATATTTCTATTGGACCATTTACCGATGGTAGGGTTGATAAACCCATGAGGCCTGAAGAACCATGCAACAGAACATGCAACAAAACATACAACAACACATGCAAAACACGTGAATGCAACCTATTTCTTTCGGGTCGAAGGTCTAAGGATGATCCTTGAAATTAAGTTGGATTTTTTTGGCTATTCATCTGTCCATATCTGTCCCCTGTTTCTCCCAGGTTGGTTCCAAATGATGGAAACTTAGGACCCACCCAGCCAGAACGTGACCCGATCGCCTGAGACCTCTCTGGTTTCGTGGCCTATTGCGATCCGCTACAGACGCCACCCGTGTGGGGGCCAAGGTCGAAGCATCCTGCAAGGTTTGTACATTAATAATGACATTTAATTAATAATGATGATAGAATTATATAGAATTACGATATAATTGTTTATGTGGCTTTATAAGATGATAGGGATATATGTATATATACATATATATATATAGTGAATGATCATCATAGATTACATACATATATATACATATAGATATATGAAGGTTTAATGATAGTTATCGAGATTTTTGGACGAATGGTACCAGTAGTACCGCACAAGGCGGTGGCGGAAGTTTCAAAAATAGGAAACCTATAGGAGAAGTTGGTTGTTGTGAATCAGGGATGGCAGAGCGAAGCCACTGATTGACCGAAAGGTGGTTGGAGTTGTGTTTGCTGGAATGGTTGCAATGGTTGCAGTGGTCACCTCACCCACAACTGCTGGATGTAGTGTGATGTACTGCAACTGTAGTTGTAGTTGTAGCGTAGTGGAGTTGTAGTTGTGGTGTAATGTAATTAGTGTAGCGTAGTTGCAGTCATATGGATGTAGCTGTAGTTGTTTTGTAGTTGTAGTTGTAGTTGTTG